GACGCGGTGCCAGAGCGTCCCGGGCGGGAGGCGGGGACCCCGTTTGGGAAGGCGGGAACGCGGATCCCCTGGTCCAGTGCGGCGGGGAGGGAAGGGTGCACTCAGGGTCCCCGGAGGCAGTGGGCAGTGGCCCGACCCGGGTCCTCGATGTGCGGCCGGTCCCTGCGGATAAAGGCGGCGGGGAAGCCCCGGAGGGAGGCGAGCGGTGGGGAACCGGGGACCAGATGCGCCGGCTTGGGGTGGCACTTGGGGAGGGCTTAGCTGCTTCCTCGCTCTGCCAGATGTAGATCAAGGGAGAGGGCTCTGGTGCCGCGTTGGGGACGCCTGTGGCGCCCGCGGACCCGAAGGGGAGTTCCTGTAAAAGGTGGAGGAGGGAGCAGAGCGCGCTTCCTTTAGCGCCACTGTAAAGCGCCGCCCCTCCTTTCCTGCCCTCCCCTCCCCATCTGCCAGATTCACCTCCCCGACTGCAGGGCTTTTGTCCTGAGAAGTTGAGGGGGAGCTGAGCGGAGGAGTGTTTAGGTACGGTTCCGAGGTTGGTAGGATTGGGCAGCCTGAAATCAGACCTATGGCCTGCAGCTATCTGCAAACGAACAAAACCGGTTCCAGCCCTCTCACACGCACCCACCCCGTTCCTTCTCCGGTGTAGCCCATATCCAGACTTTTCGCTCTTTGAGGAAAGCTTCTCTGGATGAGGTTAGACGGCCCCCCCAACACCCAGCAGCACGCGTGCTCACAGCTTTGTGGGGACCCTAAGGGGGCGTCAGGCATGACTTTCTCTTCTCTGGTGGAGATTGGTTGTTTCAGAAACAGGTGGTGCTGGGGCTGCTGGGGCTTTGTGAGAACAACCTGCGTGGTGCCCCTGGAAAAGGAAGATGACTCATGCTGGCTCTTTTTCAAGTAAACTTTGTATTCAAGACACCAGATTGCTAAGTTATTAGCAACAGTAGTACAGCTGCAGACCCAGACTCTGGGTCACTTGAGTTCTTGTTCAAGATAAGTTGGCAAGCAGTGTGACCCTTGGATGTGTCCCTTGTCCTCGATGGACCGCAGTTATCTTATCTGTGAAACGGGGTCATAAAGAGCTGGGGAGAAATATGATGGGAAGGGGGGAGGGGCAGGTTGAGGGAGACTATGAGATCTTTCCTTTTGAGACTAGATTGCAAAATAAACCTTATCTTGTTCTTTTGACGAAATTGGGGTGGACTTAAAAGAACACAGCTTAGAAGAGTGCAAATTCCAAACCAAAACACCAACAAACTAGTAAGAATTGGAACGAGATTCCAAGTATGAATACTGCTCCTGTGTAGGCAATGGCTACATGGCTCTCCAGCTGTCTTTACTATAAAACTGAGTACTGCGTTTTGAAAATTACCTGTGGGTCTGTATTCCATTGCCTCCTTTTAACCTTGAGGCCTGGTGTGGATACTCAGTTGGCCTGGTTTTGGTGAGGCCTCACTTCAAGGACATCCCCTGGATCTCATGTTGCCATAGTACCCCAGGCTTCCTCCTGTCTGACTGATGCTGGGGTCCTTGTAGCACTACACTTCTGTCATCCTGTCATCTCTTCCCTTCCGGCTTGAGAAGTGGTGAGCTGTTTCTACGGGCGTCTTGCATTTCTCAACTTCCTAGGTTTTTCTTTTCAAACGAGTGTAATAAATGTGCCAATTGAAACCCAACAACACACTAACTGCCAGCAAGTTGATCTGACTCGTACCACCCTAGAGGACAGGCTGGCACTGCCGGTGTGGGTTTCTGGAACTAACTCTTTATGGGAATGAAAAACCTCATCTTTCCCTTCTGGAGCTCTGGTAGTTTTGAACTGCTGACCTTATGGGCACCAGCCTAACCAACTATGTCATTAAGGCTGAGTACAGCCAAAATTGCTCAAGGCAACGAGCATCTTCACCAGCCTCCCTCTTTGGTTAGCCTCTTAGCAGAATTTCTGGGTTGTCTACTGGCCATAACATTTTGCACCCTGACCGGGTTGAGATGTTACTGCCAGAGTGAAATAGCACATTAATGATAGAGCCATGCTGCTGGAAGGAGGGAGGGTTTTGTTACTTTTTAGATAAATCATTTTACTAGGGGATCTTGCATCTATTATAATAATCCACACATCCATTATATCAAGCGGATATATACGAATGTTGCTATCAACAATTTCAAAATACTATCTGAGTTAGTTAATTGTGCCAGCCTGGCCAATAATCACATGTGGGGCTAATTGAAAGGCGGAGGGATAAATGGGTGGTGAGCCTCGCCTTTCTAGTTCTCGGGTCTCTTGTTTTGTGATGGTTGCATCGGGTGCAGCTGCCTTAGCAGTTCCCTGCTTCAGCTTGCAAGATTGACTTCCTACAAGACATCCCCAAGGAGAAGCTACATGGACCTATCCCAATGCAGCCCTGGGTGCTGGAGCAGCCGTGTGGAGACCCTTGCTAGTGCTGAGATGCTTGTTCGTTCACGGACTCAGCTTTCCTCTTGCAGTAGGCATCATTGCCTCTGTTTTGTGAGGTGGAAGACTTTGTGGACTGGTGTTGGGTTAATGGGTTAATGTTGGACTTGTGGGCTTTGGCAGCATTAGGTTGGGATGTTTTCGTGATGCACATTTTCTTTACATAAAACTCTCTCTTATACATGAGTCGCTGTGGATTTGTTTCTCCAAAGTACCTAGACTAATACACTATCTTTCTTCTTGTCCTTTGTTATTAGCTCCTCTATTCCCTCCTTCGCCCACCCTGCCACCCTTGCAAACACTTAATATATCATGTGTTGTTATTATTATTTATACATACCTTATACTGCCCATTCTATCCATGCACCTACTGTCCTGGTGTTTGTTCCCCTTGAGGGATGTTACCCCACCATCATTGCTATCCGTTTTCCCTACCCCTCTTTCCCTTCCTCTACCCTCCTGGAATTATTACTCCCATACCCTTTCTGAGGGGTTTGCCTATCCTGAGGTCCACATATTCAAAGCTCTCGTCTGTACCAATGTATGCACACACGTCTAGCAGGATTTTCAAGGTAGGACTGAGATCATAATAATGAGGGGGAGGGGCAGGATTAAAGAATGAGAGCAGTGTTGTTGGTAAACTGCCCCCTGGATGTATCTTCTCTTATGTGGAGCCCGTCTGTGCGGGAATGTCCAATTGTTCACGGATGGGCTCTGGGTCTCTACTTTGACCCCTCTCCTTCACCTCTGTATTTTGTCTTTGGAATCTATACCTGAACTCACCTGCTTTTCTGTTCACTTCTGTTAGTAGCTTTCAAAACCTATATAGAATTTGAGCACATTGTTTGCAATAATCCTTGTCAGTTTCTTGGAAACTGCAGTTCGTGGTTATTTCTGAGTTTGAGCAGTGGTAAAATAACTTCTACAGCAACTAAACCCCAAATTCTCCAAACACATTGCCCTCAGGTTGCTTCCGACCCATAGCGACCCCATAGGACAAGCTAGTACTGCCCATGTGGGTTTCTGACGCTGCAACTCTTGACAGGAGTCGAAAACCTTGTCCTTCTCCCAAGGAGGAATGACTGTGGTTTCGAATTGCTGACTTTGTGGTTTCCAGCCCAGTGCCTAACCACAATGACACAAATAGAAGGCCTGGCTAATTGAGTTTAGTCTTTAAACTATTTATAATATGTTATGTATATATGTATATATGCGAATAAATTAAATTGATAAGTGTCACAACTCTACTAGGTATTATTTGAGTCCTTACTACTTATCATCGGAGCTCTGGTGGCACTGTGGGTTAGGTGCAGGGCCCGTGATTCCAACCCATCAGCTCCACCCCGGGAGAAAGGCGAGGCTCTCTGCTCTGAGGTGGACAGGCTCAGAAACGCTGTGTTGGGTCCCTGTGCAGCAGGAGGGACTCACTGGTGATGCATTTGGACAGGTTTGACCCCGTAAACCAGGCATTGCTAGGAATTAGTCTTTTTATAGGTGAGAAAACAAAAAATGTTGAAATGTTACATCTGATTTGTCAAATGACAAATGAGTCCAAGCCCCGTAACCATTTGCAGTTGAATCAATTCCAACGTGTCATGACCCTAAAGGACAAAGTAGAATTCCCCACAGGGTTTCTGAGGCTTGTAATGCTTATAGGGACATGCTGCCACATCTTTCTCCCACTCGGTGGCTGTTGGATTAGAACCAACAGCCTTTTAGTAGCAGCCGAGTGCCTACTCAGTGGGCCACCAGGGCTCACTTTGAATCCCAGTAGCCTTGTGCAGACGTGGAAAGGAGCCCTCCTAGGGTTGAGGCGACCCTTAAATGATTTAATGTATGGAAAAAGCAAGATGTCAACTGTAAAGTG